CCCTAACCATTCCATGATTCTATGATTCTATATCAAAATAAACAGATATCTAGGCCTCATTCCACTGGAATTTGTGTTTTCCATATATATTATGTATACACACATACCAATATATTTTTCTATATTAAATTATCATACTACTGACTCCACTTACTTACGTACAAACTGACTGAACCCACTATCTCTGGACAGGAATTGCTGTCAGTGCCCTGCAAGCTGCGGCGCGAGGGTGCGTGGGGCTGCGGCGACAGCGCACAACTCACCAACTTGCGGATTTCACATTCTAGGTTCTGAATACAGTCCAGTTTCCTCTTGCGGCAGCGCTGAGCTGCAATTCGGTTCTTGCTGCGCCGGCGGACGTCGTGGATGAACTCGAGCTGTTCTGAGGTTAGCTTGTGCATCTTTATCATCATCTGGAAATCATTCCTTGGAAGATCTGTGATTTGATCAACAGGAAAAGGAAGTTTCACCTAAAACAAACAAATACGAGACAAGAGCAAAGAGTCATATTTTGCCTGCTGAATGCAAGCTGAACAATGCTGAGCGGAAGGATGCTTACCTATGCTGCCGCCCCCTAAACAAACAGCACACCAAGTTTTACATTGAGCAAGTTTTTAACACTCCCTTGTGGCATATCGTGGAGGTCCAGATGGTAAGGATCAGATTATAGTTGTACTGAAATGAGCAATATAGATGAATCCCAAGTAAAAATTTCATCTTTCTAAAAAAGCTCTAATAACAGATCTCCTTGTATTAAAAGAAGGCTCTGTCCACTAAGACACAGCCTTTTGGAAACAGTGAAGTACCTTGCTGCTATTAATTTCAAACTGGTTTCAAAGAATGAGCTATTACCGCAGCAGGAAACCTGTGTCTGCATGGCCTGCAGGACTGAAAGTTTGATTAGGTGTGAGGTTACAAACGCAACTTGACACTGCAAGTGGATGAAAAATACCATATCGTAATTAGGAAAGGTCGCCTAATCAGCATTTCAACTGAGCAGTACACTATATAAGAAGAAAGGGTCAGAGGAGCGTGATGCAACATATCCTAACCTGCTAAAATATATGCATTTTGAAATAAACCAATATTTACTGACATTCTAATGTTTTTGTAGACTGAAGAGCACTTAAGTTGCATTTCTTGAAAAAACCCCCAAACAGTCTAAAACCTCAGTTACTGGCAGTAAACCATTTTTTCCTTCAGGCCACAAACTGGCATCCCATTTTGACTGTAGACCATGCGACCATAGCTCCAGGTTCCGACTTCAGGAACTCCAATCATCTCTTCCACTCCATCCATTCCATCATCTCTTCCACTCCTACCAATTATGCATTACAGCAAAGCAAAACACAAGGCTCCTGACAGTTTGGAGCAATGAACACACACTATCTCAAAACCTGGAGAATGGCGGATGTGCTCAAAGACTTGTGTTAGCTTTTTTCCCCCAAACCTATCAGCTTGCTAAAATCAAAGTAAGCACCTCTTCCTACAAACCTTGCTTCACTTTGTAGCTTCAGACCGATAACATGACTATCAAAAAAATAATGTTCCTCGGTGGACTGCTGTGTTTGGTGGTCAAATAAGAATCAGTTGACAAAGCTGAAGGAGGTGACAACTGAGTAACTGATTGACCCCCTTCTTTTTTTGAGTCATACCCACACTGCCCAAAAGATGGCAGTAAATATTTACATTTCTGTCGCCATTTGGTACAATCCAACCTCTCGAACAAGGCGACTATTCTGCATGCAGGCTACCAAAGAAGATACGATTTACCTTGCTCCAGTCAAGCAAAAGATATGGGTTGAAAAGGTTCCTTTGATATTTAAAACATGGTTAACGTCTTCGAACAGTGCACTTTAATTATTTGGAGATAAATAAAATAACAGCACAGATTAGAAATAAGTTATTTTCATTGGAGAGCTGAGTTTGTGCAGAACAGTTTGCTGAGGACACATGTACACAAATACACAGCAGTGGTCTCTGGCACTGACAGTCACGGACCCTCACTGGGCACCCGGACATGCCAATAACCAGCTCCTCGCCTTGTTTATGAGCTTGTGTTTTCTTGAGCTCTTCTATCATTGCTCTGCACATCTCCAAGCCTGGGCCACGTGAAATTCAGTGGAAACACCTACCGCATCCTTTCAGACGGTTTCATGCCCTGAACATTGCCCTTCTGCCCCATGCGTCCACGCACTGCTTCAGAACACACTACTTGACAGGTCTATTTAAACCGGCAAGAAACACCAAACAATACCCCAGTCCCCCCAGATTCCTGCTTGTACACACAAAGGCTGACCTTAGGCACAGTGATGTGGACTACCTTGTTTACAGATTGCTAATGACATGAAACCTGTTTGATTTCCCCTCCCTAGCCTTTGGACGGTCAACATAAACTCAGTGTCACCTGGTTTTCTCTCAAGCTTCAATCAGGGTCTGAAAACGAAAACAGCCTGTGCTTTCCTCTGAAAGACACCACAGTCTGACTGCAAAAACAGTCCTTTCACGTTCCCAGTTTTTCCTTATTTTCTTAAGTCCAAAGCGGAAAGCAATGTTAACTTTATTTCTTCCTCCCTCTCCCTTTCAAAACATATTTACTTGCAAGGAGGAGATGTGCTTGCAGCTGGAATGGGAATAAAAGGGAAGCGACTTAAATCTGTCAGGTAGAAGTTGCTGAAGGGAAATGGGAAAATAAATTGAAATAGATTCATAAAAAAAAAATAACAGATTGAAAATAAAACCATCCACACAGCAGGCCAGAGACTGCTATCAGTAAACCCAGCATAATCCCGCTCCTGTCATAGGCAGCACTGTGCAGGATTAAAAACGTGAAAGGGAGAGTGGAAGTGAGTCAGACTCATTTCCTTCACCATTCACAGCATTTTTATTGCCTGTCTCCCTCTCCGCAATTAGCTGTCAACTGAAAAAAAAAAACCACCGAGCCCTTGGCGCGCACACAGTGAATAACTGCGCCGGGGTATTGCTGCAGCGAGAGGCTAACGGTGTTTTACGTCGGCGCAGGGCAAGACTCTCTGCTGGCATTTATCACAACAGAGCGGTAAGTCAATCTGCAAGAGCCGACGACTGTGCCACGGCTGTGATTCATCTGACCCACTTAGAGCCGTCTGAAATGACGGGTTGGGACTAGCTCGTGTCCAGGTCCCTGCTGTTGGCACCGAGAAGAGCGAGGCCTTTGGATGGCAATGCACCCCGCATGGCTTCTCCCTCCTCCTGCCTGCAGAATGAGCAGAGAGGAGACTTAGGAAAGATGCTGTACCTTATGGTATCTAAGGTAGGTGAGAGAAACCTGGCCTGCGGTGTCTGAAGAAGGACAGTCAATCTTTTCTAAGATGTGTAAGAAAAACACAGCAAGTATGTTTTCTTGTAAACTTTTATTTTTAATAACTATGAACTTCATACAGGAAATGACTGTGTGCTCTTTGGTTCAGACTATTTCAAATTAGGAATGTAAGTGGGATCCCTACTCCTCCCAGGAGTTACTCCAGCCAGAGCTAACCTCACAGAGCTCTAAAATCTTCCCTATCAGCACAACTGCTCTTTCCCT